GAAGGCTCCAGGGAGACCTGAGAGCCCCTTCCAGTGCCTAAAAGTGCCTCTCCAAGAGAGCTGGAGAGGGACTTAGAACAAGAGCCTGGAGGGACAGGACAAGGGGGAATGGCTTCAAACTGCCAGAGGGCAGGAATAGATGGGATATTGGGAAGGAATACTATCAGAGGCAAGCACTGAGCCTTGGTCTCCCCACACCCAGCCTCCTGCTCCCTTCTCTCTCCAGATCCCACCCATGTCACCTCTCTTCCACCTGGACTCTGCTCTGGCTCCTGCCTGCCTGAGTTTTCTGTGGATGAATTCAGAGCACCATGGGCTGGTCCCTGTGCCTGCTCTGGGTGGATGTGAACATGCCAGGATAATTATCAGCGTGTCGGATCAGAGAAAAATCATATTTTAATTGTGTAATTACAGCAATTTAAAAGCCCTCGGGCCTGAAACACCTCTGTGCTTGCTGGCAGCTGGCAAAGCATGAAGTTTTCACAGCAATTAGCATACCTTGCATGAAATATTCAGCAACCTAAAAATATGGAGGTTCATACAATCATGGAATACCAGAATGGTTTGGGTTGGAAGGGGGACCTTAAAGATCATGTTTTTCCACCCCCTGCCACAGGCAGGGACACCTTCCACTAGCCCAGGTTGCTCCAGCCTGGCCTTGGACACTTCCAGGGATCCAGGGGCAGCCACAGCTTCTCTGGGCAACCTGTCCCAAAGCCTCCTCACCCTCACAGCCAGGAATTCCTTCCCAATATCCCAAATGGCAGTGGGAAGCCATTCCCCTTTCCAGGGAACAGGGGACTTGCAAGAAGTCCGAGGAACTCTGAGGTCACTTCACAGCAGGGAAATACCAGAGACAGGAGCATCCCCTTCCCTCTGGGACCTGCTCCGAGCACTCACCCTGAACTGGCCGCCGTTCCCATCATCCAGCTCCAGGATGTATCCTTCCACCTGCACCGTGGACAAGGGGGGCTGCTTCCAGGACAGGGTGGCACTGTTGTTGTGGGTGCAGCACTCCTCCAGCTGCAGGATCGGCGGGGCCGGCACTGGGGAGGAAACTAAACCCAAATCAGTGGAACCCTGGCTGCTGGCACCACACGGGGGGAGGAGGATGCATTTATTGGGATGCACTTATTGCCTGGCTGTGAAGGTAGCACTAGGGGTGTAACTGTGGTCTGGAGGGCGTGAGGTGGAAAGGAAGCAGAAAGGACTCCGAATTCCTCCACCTCACAGCCTGCTGAAGCTGAGGTTTCCCCAGAGCTTCGCTGGTTTATTCCTGTTTTCTAATTAATTTTGGGGAATTTTGGCAGCACAGCAATACACCTGATATAGAGAAGCCAATCCCAAACCTGGGACACTCTCCCAAAGCTCCACAGAGCCCTGAGTGGCTCTGCTTTTCCATTAAATAAATTCACTGTAACAAAAAGGAGAGGACCTGAAGCTGAGGGGCTGAGTACCCCCTATGGCTCCCATCAGCTACACAGGGGGCAGAAAGGACTCCCAGGTTTTTTTCTGCTGTGTTTGGGAATCTCCATGTGTGTCATGCAGTCCTGTCTCTGACCCCACGCTCTGAAAAGCATGGAAGGGGGACAGCATGACAGGGAAGGGAGGTGTCCACTGACACATCTCCTCTCAACAGAGCTGCTCCTCCACCATCCTCATCCTCACTGCCCAAAGTGACAAGAGCCAGGGACAACAGAGAATCCAGACAAGATGTGGAGGAGAGCCATGGATGCCTGGGAGAAAAAAGATGGACTTGCTGGCAAAGGCTCAGCTTTCCCCCGCTGTGACTCCTCCACCTCCTGGGCTGGACCCTCAGGAACTGCCAGACTACCTGTTCCTCACCCTTCATCAAGACCTCAGGTGTTGCCCTCCCTCCCCCAGTGCTGCAACACAGATTTGGGATCCAAACCCCACCTTCTGCTGGTCTAAAAAAACCAACAACTTATTTCCACGGCGAGGGTGAGCTGAGAGGAGGAGGGAGATGATGAGAGGAGGGTGGGCGGCTAAACCAGCAGCAGATTTGCTCTTATTAATTAAAAATAACCCTCTGGGCTAAATTGCAGGAAGGGAGGGCTAATGTAAAATAGCAATCCAGCCCTCCCTGGGCTTCCTACCACAAAATATCACTGACATTTCAAATTAACAGCCGGGCTAACGATGAGCAACCACGAGCAGCCACGGCCCCTCCTCACTGCTGCAAGGGCCAGCAGGGCCACGATCTGAAGATGCTCATTATTGTGACAGTGGAGCCCTGTGGTCATCAGCCTTCCTCTCCCTGACCACTGAGACACGTTGGGGTGTGCAAACAGCTCCCAAGCCAGGAATTCCAGCTGTGATGGAAGTGAAGAGCCGGGACAGACCTGCAGCTGGTGGCCCTTTCCCCATGCAACTCATCTGCACCAGCTGAAGGTACAGCCCATGTTCAATGTCCTCCTGAGCTTCCCTGTGTGTCCACAGCCCTTTTTGCACCTTCTTCAGCTTCCTTGAGCTTGCTAAATCCCAAATTGCTCACAGGTTGCAGCAGCTCTTGGTGGTACAGGAGAGAGAGCACAGAGGGAACGGAGAACGGGGAGGAAATTTAAACCAAAAGGAAAGTCCAAACCAACAGCGAGGAGAGGGGAGGGAGAGGAGTCCCCAAGCTGAGTGACGTGGCTCTGTGTGCTTGGAGGGACATCTGGTCCATGCCAGATGCTGCTCAGCACTGAGTGAGTGTGGGTATGTGAGCAGAGCTTTGGGAACAGCTTTGTGCTGTTCCCAAGATACACGTCCCAACCTGCAGAGCACTTTCTATTGCACTTTTTAATGCACTAATAACTTTCTAATGCACTGGGACTGCTTTTCCAGGCAAAGCCAAGTTCCAGGCACCCTAGTTTGGCAGACAGGTGCCCAGGGATCTGAGACAGGGAGGCAGATGGTTGGCCCAGGGGTGGAAAACACACAGGAACGGGCATAACTCAGGGTGTGGGGTGCCCAGTCCTGCTGGGAGAAGGTGAGAAACGCTCCTCTCCTGCCCCTTCCCTGTGAGGAGCTGCATGGAATGGGAAGACATGGGCTTCTGAAAGGCATTGGAGATATCCTTACCTTTCATCTGGACAAAGTCCAGCTGGTGGATGGACTGGAGCAGAGGGGCGTTGTCGAGGTTCAGGTCGAAGTCCGTGGTCATGCGGGGGGTGAGTGTCCCCTTTCCCCACTGGTCCTCGGTCAGGTGCACTCTCCTGATGAGAGCATCAGAGATCTGGGGACAAGGAACACCCTCAGCCACCATGGATCACTGGGATGTGTGCTGTGCCGTGCCCCTGCCCTGCTCTCCTCCCTCCCTCTGCCTCCCAAAGGCTGGGATGTCACACGTGGTTTCCAGCATCGCCCTGCCCTGCAGGCTCAGTTGGCAGAGGGAACCCAGGGGCTCTGGGGATTATTTAAAGGCAGGATCTGGTACCAAAGGGACCAGCCCAGGAATGAGCAGTGGGATGCAGTTCCCAAGGGCTGTTATGTTGGTCTCCCAATGGAGAGCCACGAGGCAGCACGTTCTGATCCCTGCTCCAGAGAGACACCACCCACCACCTCCTGCTAAATCCCAAATTTATCCCCAAAACCTTCTGTTCCTCCAGTGAGGGTAAGAAACGTCCCTACCCTGTTCCTGCTGCAAACCTGGAGGTGATGAGAGGCTGGCCCTTGATTTTATGGCTGGAAAAGCCAGGACAGCCTCTTACCCTCGGCCCTGCAGCGCCTTTCCCGCTCACCAACCTGCAGGAACCCGCTGGGATCGTTCTCCTTGATGACCTCCAGGCAATATTCCATCAGGCCCGTGGTCTGGCGCAGCTTCACCGTGCAGTGGGAGATCTGGTCCCGCACCACCTGCGAGGGGACAGGGAGAGCAGGGGGGGCTCAGCTCTCCTTGGGGTTTTGGGAGATGGGGAGCCAAAGGGCTTCGGTGCTGTGCGGGCACAGGGATGGGGTCAGGGCATGTGAAGGGAGACAGAGACTCAGGGGAACAGAAAAAGGCAGAACTGGCCAAGACTCTGAATTCCAGATCTTTGAAAACCTGGTGAACAACAACAGAGAATCCCAGAATGGTTTGGGTTGGAAGGGACCTTAAGGACCATCTTGTCCACCCCTCTGCCTGGGCAGGGACACCTTCCACTCTCCCAGGTTGCTCCAAGCCCTGTCCAACCTGGCCTTGGACACTTCCAGGGATGAGGAGTCCACAATCTCTCTGGGTAACCTGTTCCAACAAGCCTTGTTTAGCTCAAAATTATTAACCCACTATTCAAAGCAGTAGGACAGTTCCACGCCCTGTCTTTAATTAAGACAGCTTCCAAATGATAGCTTATGAGATTCCTGCAAAGAAAATGCCCACTTCCATAGACACACAAGTGCCCTATCCATCCTTGGCATGGAGCTGGGTTGTGGGGTTGGCTCTGTACCCAACACTACCTGGATAAGGACCCTGGTAATTTGGTATTTCCAAGAGGAATGAACACACCACCTCCCCCAGCTGCAGCTCTAAGGATCTGTCTGAGATGCCCATACTGCAGAACTGCCTCATTTTCTCCACCTCAGGGGCAGAGAAGTGCCAGGGAGAGGAGATAAATAAATCCTGCTGGCCTTTGGCTGGGCTCCCTACAGCACATAGAGCTCTGCCTGGGGTTGCCCAGGTTGCACACTAAGGCACATCTTCTCGCAGCCACGGCTGGTTCTCCAAGGGATCACATTCCAGCATCCCAGCAGAGGAGCACAAGTGTGTTTACTGGTGCCTGAGGGCTCTGCTGATGTTCCCAGAAGCACAGCAGGCAGGAAAGGGTTCAGGCTGGATACCACAAGGGTGTATTTGAAGGTTGGCTGGTCCTTCATGTTGAATCCCACACTCGGTGTCAGGAGCATTTCTGCCACTGGAGATTGGCAGAGCAGCTCAGGAAGAGAAATTTGATGCTCAGAGGGACATGCTCATGACAGATAATTCCTTTTTTTTTTCCCCTGGAAGAGCTTTAAAGCTGTGTAAAGTTCTCCACTGGCACTGAACAAAGCTGTGCAGCTCAATGGAGCACAGATATTTGGGGTGTCACAGGGAAGGTGAGCTTTGCATCAGCATCTGCAGCTGGAAAAAGCTGCAGTGACCAGGGATGAAGAGAGCACAGTGCCCATGTGCCCACTGCTCCACAGGCACAGGAGCAGCTCCTCCTGTGAGCATCCCCACAGCATCCCTGTCTGAGGGATGGGGAGGTGGAATGAAGCACGTGTCAGGCTCCTGCAGTGAATGAACCTGGGCTTTGAGGGGGGAGACGACACCTGCAGGCCAATCAATCCCATCACGTGTTGTTTAATTACAATTTAATCACCTCTGCTCAATCACTGAGCAGGAAGAAAAGAATTACCAGCCTTGCAACTTAGAATCACAGAATCATTCAGGTTGGGAAAACCCTCTGAGATCGAGTCCAACCATCCCCCAGCACTGCCAGGGCCACCACTGACCCATGTCCCCAAGTGCCACATCCACAGGGCTTTGAAATCCTTCCAGGGATGGGGACTCCACCACTGCCATGGGCTGGACAACCCCTTCCATGAAGAAATTTCCCCTAATATCCAACCTAAACCTCCCCTGGTGCAGTCTGAAGCTGTTTCCTCTCCTCCTGTCGCTTCTACCTGGGGAGACTTGAGACAACACATCATCTCCTGTAAAATGCCACGAAACAGTCTCTGAGATGGTTCCAGATTTTTAGGGAGTAGCCACTCCTTGCTGCTTGCAGCAGCCTGGTGTTGCCAGGCTGTGGCAGAGGGAGGCTGGAGCAAGCCCAGGCTACAGGGAGGGTGCAGGCTGGACAAGGCAGCAGAGGGAGCTCCCATATTGCTCCTCTGGACCAAGGGGAGTGTGGAGGCTTGTGGAGATGCTGGATCGCTCTGAGATGGAGCACACACTGCTTCTGGCATCAAATGCAGTCAGCAGAGGGAAGAGTTCATTCAATGCCAGTTCCTAACACTTGAGTGCACTGGAATGGCTCTGCTGTGGCAATTCCTAGAATCCCAGAATGGTTTGGGTTGGAAGGGACATTAAAGCCTGTCTTGTTCTACCCCCTGCCATGGGCAGGGACACCTTTCACTAACCCAGGTTGCTCCAAGCCCTGTCCAACCTGGCCT